ACAATAGTGACAGCACAAAATAAATATACAGCAGCGCATCTCCAATGAAACTGTCGAACACATAATATCTGAAGCCACAGTTCTGAAGCAGGCGTATGCTAATCTCGAGTTTAAAATCTACTGCGGTCTTCCGAGTTTACTCAAGATCCTTGTGCGTGAACTGTGTTGTGTTGCTTTGGGCTGCTACGCGGTATCTATCTATGATGAGAATCTATTTACTTTTGTTGTACCGTGTTGTAGCTTATTGCGTTAGTGCCATGTTAGTGCAGTGAAAAATTAACTGCAACTCGGGCCCCAAGCTCGAACTCCAAAGTTCTTAAAACCAAAAGCCGAAAGAGAAAACAGAAGTCGAGTTTTATTTAAATCACACTTATTCTCAAACATGCTTGGAGAGATTTTAAAAGTTTTTGGTGGGATTTAGTCGAGTACAAATGGCGTCTTATTTAAATTATTGTTTAATTCATAGTGGATATTCTTAATTATTTTTTTTGTGTTTTTGCGTTACAACCGTCTACGCAACTGAAGAATTAGTGGAATCTTTAAAATATACGCTATTCGCTATATGTAGACGTGAGAACTTCATTGTAGTAATGACTATCTCACAAAGCTTATCGAGAAAGCTGATACATTTCGTGCTAAACACTCCAAGAAACATTAGAATGTGTCACACTCACATTCTAAAGCAATGCAAGTCAGTAATTAAAAACTTTGATAAGTTACTTCCTTGGTTGTCATGTATCTATGAATTTACTATGTACCAATTTATTTGGCCGCTGAAACACGAAGGATTTGGATTTTCATACAACTTTTGCCAGCCGCTGCTCGCATGTATGTAACCAGTAAACTAATTTTGATATATCTCGAAGATGGCTGTCACTAATAATGCTCATATTATTTGAGAAAAATCATTATTGTTCGTTGTTCATCATTGATTTTGAAGAGTAAGAGTTAGTAGTAATATTTTGTGAGATTTCGTAGCATTGTTCTTAAGCCGGAATATATTTGTCTGTCGTGTTGTGTCGTAACACGTCAGGGGTATCGGTTTCATACATTTCGTCGACACATCCATGGACCAGGACCATGGGGGATTTTGTATGGATCCCGTCTCCACCCTAACAGATACGGGATGGGTGTAGATGTGTTCATTCATACTCAAAAAAAAAAACAAAACACTTGTTCTAGTTGAGTAATCGATGGGGTTTTGTTAAAATTAAAAAAAACTTTTCAACAATGTGTTTATTTTCATATAATATCCTTAATTTTCTTAAAAGATATGGTTTCGAACATTCTTAAAACAAAATATTGACTTACGAGTACATTTCACTTAATCTTCGTTTTTTACCGACTTAAAAAAGGAGGAGGTTCTCATTGAAACCAGTATGTCCCCTAACCCCCATATATTATACAATACGATGGATATATTGTGTCCACAACTTCCCACAGTACGATTGCCTGTAAGGCAAATGCAGTACCAATACGCCTATTAATTCTTATGAAGCTGAAGAGTTACTTTGGTTGAACGCGCTAACTCATGAACTACTGGTCCAAGTTGAATATATCATTTTGTGTTGGATAGTGCATTTATCTAGGAAGGTTATAAACTATATAACATAAAGATACAACAAAAAGAACTAATGAAAAATGTTGCAAGAACGGGATAAAATATCCCATTTGAGAGTTTTCGTTGCGTACACTGTGTAAACGGTAAAAGTAATATGCAAAACATGTTAACGGAATTGTTCTCAGTTTAAAGTTTTATAAAAAAGTCCGCAGCAGTATATATCTATCTTTGGGTTTTTCTCTTTCTTTGATTCTTCTATCTTTGACCCACTATAACGTATTGTCTTAGCATTTCTTTCGTGAAACCGCAGGGCAATTCTAGCATTTAAAAAATCTAAACCCCATATATTTCAAGTGTCGCCACAGTAAGAAATAATCTGACTAGACACTTCAAATGATACTAGTTTCAAGTCTGTTGAAGGGTGTGGACGTTTTTTCCCATTGTCCTTTAAGAAATCTCTGATGCTGACACTACATTTGGCTATTCGTGTTTGCTTTTTGTAAACTTGACATGAGTCTGTCCTTTTCATTCCTTATAAAGCATGAAAAAGTCAGACTGTTGTCAAGTTTACAAATAGCAAATACAAATACGCTGGCATAACACGTCACGGCTCAACACAACAGACAAATGTACTTCCGGCTTTATGGCTTTTGTCCTTTTTGTCTCTTGTCTATTTTTTGGGTCACAATCTATGTTTAATGTCACAATGATTATTTTACTCTAGGGCTAGGGCGAGGACCTTATTTAACTTATATTGTTAGTATATAAGTTCCTTGGGCTTACAATCTTTTTGTAATCAAGTTTGTCTTTGACATTTGACTTTTCGTTGGTTTGTTTGATGGCTTGTTGAGGTTTGCTACAGAAGCTAACCATTTCTAAAAATTACTTCAAAGGAGATTGCTCAGCTTCCATACATGTTTGGCCTAAAGACCAATAATCATGAAAAGTTGTTTCCTAGATTCGAAATTATATATAAATTACTGTAGAAACGAATATTATTGACGGACACCCCTGAGAACTTCTAAAAACCATATACACTGAACGATTTTGAGGTTATTTTTGCAAATAGGTACATAGGTATTAAAATAATAAAAAACAAATAAGTTATAAAGTAAACTAGGGAAATCAAGCCAAGTACCGAAGCTATGTATTAGATTCATGTATATAGAGCATGTAGATTAACAGATAGTTGCCTGTTTTTAAAGTTAATGCACAAGAGTAACTTTTAAAATCAGGTATCATCTATCCGGTTATAATAAGGAAGGTACTCTGTGACAGAAACTGTGTGATGATTGTGAATGAGCCCCAGATTAGAGAGAATTTTTCAACTCTCCTTAAACCATATTTTAGATTTTTAGTGTATCACACCTTATATTGTGTTTAAGGAAGTGTTTGGCGAAAAATGTATGGCAATAGACTTTATGATGCTGCCTACCATCTATAATAATTGTCTTAGCACATTTGCATGTAGTGAAAATATTAATAAGGTTGTGGATATTAATAGCACAGTGTAATAAATAAATGTTTTATTTTATCGAGCTTTACAAAATAGATTTGATTTTATGTTATATAGGTGTCGATTCCTGCGTGATCCTCTAAACTTTAACATAAGTCTGTCCTTTTCATTATGTATAGAGAATGACAAGGATACACTGTTGTCAAATTTACAAGTTTGTCTATAAAGTCGTGACATGAATGTTTGAGGAACTAACATTATTCATGTGTCTGGCAACACCAAACTTATGTACATCCGCTGTCATCGAGTTTCAGTTGTGGAACAGTTTTCCTTTTGTATTTTTTATTGTTTGGATTAAACTGTAATAAATTAAGACGAAACTTCTCAGAAAGGTATAAAAATGAGTAAAGTAAATCGGAGTGGCACGCAGGTAGTGATTTTTAAAGTTTTAGAACGATGTTTCGAAGACTACCAAGCTGGACGAATTTTGTGGGATTTGGATGATGTTTATGGGCGAACAGCATCTATGACGGGTATGTAATCGTGTAACTATTTGTTTGTAATCTGCCTGAAGTTACAAATTTACTCAATTTACGATTTTGAGACCAAAAAAGGTATTGTTTACATTGCACATTTTTAGGTTAGATTGACATTGTAAATAGGTAATATTGTAGTACGACCATTTCTTTTGATACGTTATTATGGTTCAACTCGGTCAGGTTTTCTACCAATTTTGAATTAATTTCTTCATGTCAATAAGTTATTGTTTCTATTCCGTTACATATTTTTTTACTTTTTTTTTTCAGGAAAATCAGAGAGTCGGATAGTCAACGAAGGTTTTAAGAATGATGGAAAGTTTGAAACTCCTGGGAAAACAGGCAAGGCCGACCAAAGAACGAAATGGTCACATAAAGAACCATGGCCAGATGTTTTTAGTGAAGATACCTATCACTAATTTTACTAACTGCACATTTACAAATTGTTTCTCTAAATAAACTTTTTATATACTATAAAATGAATTTTAGTATTATTTTCTTAACAAGTGTGTCATTAGTAGGGCTGTCGTATGATGATACTTGTATTGATGATTACCTAACGGCTCTGGTCTCAATGGCACCTCAGCGGTAATCACCAACATTACACACTTTTACACTATAAAGTACTATTTTTATCTATAATAATTTTATTCTGATTCAATTAAATATGCTTGGCTAAGCTTTTTATAAGCATAGATACCTACTATATATAAAAAAGAAACAAAATACGACTGTAAAGTGTGTCTTATTAATTACCTATTTTACTTGAATGAACTGCTAGTATCAAAATCATTTTGGTCAGACTGTACAGGGTTGCTACATGCATACTAGTGGCGCCATCATTTAATGTCACGACTTTATAGACAAACTGTAAGTTTAGATTTAGAGAATCGTGCCAGAATCGACACCATAAGCAGCTTCGATCAGTCTTTGGCTGAATGTTACTACACCCATAGCCATTAAAAATGATTCGTATGTTTTTCAAACCGGTAAAATTAAAAGTCCTATTTAAAATGAATATATTATACAAATGTGTCCGTTAAAATCTAATGACTGTAAAATAAAGTATAAATTACGCCAAGAATTACCGTATATGTAAATATTTTTGTGCATTTAGGCCAATTTGAGTAATCTCCTTTGTTAAATAATCATAATAGTAAGGTCGATTCTGGCATGATTCTCTAAAGCTAAACTTAAATTTGACAATAATGCATCCCCATCATTCTCTATACAGAATGAAAAGGAGAGACTGATGTTAAATTTAGTTTTAAGTTTAGAGAATCACGCCAGAATTGATACCAATGTCGATTCTGGCATGATTCTCTAAACCAAAAACTTAAATTTGACAACTGTGTATCTTTATCACGCTCTATACAGAATTAAAAGGAGAGACTGATGTTAAATTTTGTTTTAAGTTTAGAGAATCATGCTAGATTTGATACAATTGGTAAACTAAAAATAATATAATAAAATAAATAATAAAGCTAAAGAGGAGGCTGTATGGGCATTATTTCCTTTGCCTACCCTAAAAAAGGAAAACTTCAAGAAAAAACCACTTCGTTTTCGTTGATTCGTTTGGGTAGTGTGTAGTGTTGTGGTTTGGTGTTAATTTTATTGTGATCAATATGTTACGTAAATTGTTTTATTTAACGTTAACAATCACATAAACCTAATTGTAATATATCCGTTGGTCTAACCAAGTGTTAGTAACCATGGCTGACGACGAACGTAAGTTACTTGTTTACAAAATAGCTTACTGCACAATTTTTATATAATAACCATTTTTCCTTATTGTTATTACTATTATCGATATAACAACCAAAAGATATTTTGTATAGTGTTTCATATTTTCAACAAAATTTTGCTTACAAAAAAAAGTGAGGTTAGACTATTCAGCTGATATAAACAGTGCGCAAATTGTAAATATACATATTTATTTCTGTTTTGCAGTACCATCCGACAGTAGTTTACTTGTTATAATCGTGGATACTAATCCAAACCAAAGGTACATAACTGAAGATCCAAAGGTATTGACTGGTTGCCTCGATGCAGTCATTGCATTTGCAAACTCCCATTTGATGCAGAAATCTAGAAACCAATTAGCTGTTATTGGCTGCCATTTTCATAAAAGGTATGTAAACAATTACATGAAAACTTTTGTTTTACTATTACCTTTACATCTTCTTAAAGTACATTTAGTAAAACTATCATTAATTACACAGTATAAACTCTTAATAATTAACATTGATTCCTCTATTCCTTCATTATATTGTTTCCATTTTTATGCTAAACAAAATCAGTCATTAAGAGGGCTGCCATCCGTCCGGGTTTCCCGGGATTTGTCCTAGTTTACGGGGCGTCCGGGCGGGGTTTCGTTTGTAGTCCGGGTTTAAAATTTCCTGTTTTGGGTCGCCAATTAATCCGTCAATTTAAATGTCTTTAAAAATAAATAAATCTATTCTAACACTGTAACCATAAATGCTGACTTCCAACAAAGATCAGCTTTGTCGCCCATACTGTCCGCAATAACAGCATTCGTTGCTATGCGGATTACAGCATTGTAACTTTTTACACTGGCCGGTCAAACATCCCTCGGATGGAAGAAGAAGGGTGTAAAGACAGACTTGTGTCCGAGATTGAGATGTTACTGGATCAAGTCTCAAATTAGAGCCAACAAAATTTGATTGGATTAACCCAGCAAAGCCACGTGTGTGTGAAAAAGCTTGTGTGTTCAATAGATCTAGTAAGTACCTCAAGCCTAAATATCGGGTGTTACTTTACAAAGCACTGGTCCTCTGGGCTGGAGGACCCCAATACCTACCAGCTCCTTACTCTTGACCAGATACAAAAGCGGGCAGTTTGACATATCAATGCTCCTGAGCTCACTCACACGTTGCAACCCCTTAGCTTGTGCAGACGGTACAACACGTAAAAGGACGCAACTCCTTCCACGTGTCGTACCGTCTATACAATCAATGGAGAGTGTTCCGAGGCATTATTCAACCGGATGCCAGTGGCCAAGTTTCTTCACAGCACCACACACCGCAGAGAAGTTTCCCGCTCATCATCTGGACGCCTGGCGTTCGAGCACCATGTGTTCCTTTCTTTTGTGTACCAGCAAGATCTAGAACGAACTTTCCTCAGTATTTTATTCTTATATGATATGGTAATCTTAAAAAGGCGGATGAACCTTTTCGTTCAGAGCTGGCAACGCATGAGTGGCCCTTGGTGCTGCAAGTGTCCATGGGCAGCATTGACCACTTATTATGAGGTAGACCGCTAGCTCTTTTGCCTACATCAACATAAAAAAAGTTGATTTGTGACATTTTTAACTGTTTTTTTATTGGTCTGTCCGGGTTCTGGGTTCCAAAATCCGAGGTTATCACGCCTCCGATCCTAGTTGCCACATTTTAGAGATGGCAGCCCTAGTCATTAGCTATTTAACTACCTACTACCTTTATTTAAGGGACCTTTTATCTCTTTGGAGTTGTTGTGCATCCTATACCATTTTTTCAAAATTTTACTGCCCATGTGTATAAAAGAATATATAAGGGTAAGCAATCTCATCATTGCATAATTTAATTTTGTAATATTGCTATGCAATGCTTAATTTTTTTCAGTGAATATCTATATCCCTCACCGGGAAAGCCACTAGATGTGCGACAAATTGACGGACAGTATGAATTATTCACCTTAGTAGAGAAAACTATTAAAATGAGGTAAATATGATCTCATATAACAGTTTTTTACATTCAACACTTGAAATAATTTTATAGCACTTTGAGAAATACAAAACAAATAATTTATTCCAAACCACAACAATATTAATTGATACATACACTTGACACACTATCAGCATGATATTTTTTATTATTACTAAATTTCATTGATGTACATTGATGTAGCTGGGACAAACAACCAATGCCTCCTATTGAAAATTTTGCAATTAACACCTTTTATAAAGCTTCAAATCAAATCTAGTTATTGAAGAATAAGTTTTCAAATTACAGATTAGTGAATTTAATAAAAAGTCAGCCACAAGATGAGAAGCCTGGTGAATCATTATTAGCTGGAGCACTGGCTATGGCTCTCTGCTTTATAGCCAGGGTAAGATAATACTGATATATTTATTAAAATAATCCTATTATAAAAATTTCGTTTATATGAAATAAGGTGATGGTAAAAAAAAAGAGATTAAAAAATTATCTGTAATGATCTACTTATAAAAAAAAACAAGATTAAAAAATCTACTTTCCGTTATTCAATGCATGTAAAAATATTAGGTAGGTACTTAGATCTTTAAACTGCAGTAAGACATAAGCCTACTAGAGCTTTGTAGCCAAGATATTTTTATTATTAAAACTTTAATAACAATAGGCTAGTTGACCCTTTTTGGAAAAAGGTTTTAAATGGTTAATAAATGTTCTATTAGACCGAAAATTTTAAAATAGATTTTTCATGGATAGGTTATTTATGCTATGACGTTAACTGCAGTAAACAAAAACTCATAGGCACGTAGAAAATAACTTAACTGTAATACCACGAAAAATAAAGTAATTATCATTATTGTATTGTACGAGAATATAAAAGCACATCCTTGAAGACTCCAGGAAAGTTGTGGATTAAAGTGCCGAAAGAAATTAACCTACGCAACTTTATTACACTTATTCATATGTTGTATCAGTTTTATGTCTATTACTACATTGTAATACTAAATACACTGTACTTATATAGATGCCTTGTCGTTTCTCTGTTCCGCAGAGCAGAAATCGGGGTTTAGTGCAATAAATTCACCAACCATCAATGCGTCAATTCTTGGCAGATTTGTGCTTTCTGTTTTCACAAAGCAGGCATCCATAATTAGTTTTTTCAAAAAAAAACAGTAAACGGAAACTTTTCTAAAGTTAAAAGTGTTTTAAGATAAATTAAGTCAGACGAAAGAATCCACCCACAGTAACACGCGAATGACATTTAGTTGTTTACCATAAGAGACGTCACAATCATGGCGGAAGTGGCGAACAGCGTTTTTAGTGTTTAAAAAATATAGACTAAAAAATATTTTTTTAAATTAAATTTCTACAGCATTATTCTGCTTTTATGAAGTGAAATCGATATATTTAGGTTCCTTAGACCAAATACTTTAAGAAATAAACATTTATTTAATACAATTCGACATGAGTCAACTAGCCTATTGTTGCTATGAAACAGAACCAGATTATCCTTACCTTTTACTGAGGTTGATTATTGAAAGTGGCTGAAAATCTATCTGGCATATATGCGATCAGTCATTGTGTCAATCAATCCAACTGTTTTATATTTGATCTATTATAACATATTTCATTTAATAACACTTAAGGAACAAGAAGTCTTAGACAACCTGAGCAGGCATCCATAATGTTTCATATTAGTTTTACTGGGAGCTACGTAGTATTCAATAGAAGAGGTGTATGCAGTCCAGAAACGCAACTGATACAGGCTCATGTTGACAATGATAACTTTGTGTCCATAGATGCGACGCGAGTCGCCTCCAGGGCTTCGGACCAGCAGTCGTATTCTAATAGTGACGGGAAGCTCAGACACAGCAGCACAGTATATCAACTACATGAATGTATTCTTCACAGCTCAGGTAATTTAAAAAATTGATTTCAGAAGACTCTTCCCATTGTGTTTGTAAATTAAAATCTGTTAGAATCATTGCTAAGTTTTTGTGTAGAAATGATAATGATAACTTACTAGCACATAGCCTACATTGCTTCTGAAGTTATCCTCTCAATAGATTTTATTGCAACCATGAAAGATGGTTTGCAGCCAACTTATTATTTCTTTTTTTGATTGCAATCTTATATTGAGATCAAGGGGATTTTCCATTGGATTTGGAGCATTACTGATTTTTTGGCTTGCAAGACGTAGAGACAACGTAGCAAGCATCAAATTTGCTCTGTGTCTGCAGATGTGTAAATCCTGTGGTTGTTTTTCCAGTATTTTTTTATTGAGATTTATAAATGAAGCAGTTAAATATACAATTAAAGATCTGTCTATCTATATTTCCATTTCAGAAACAGCAGGTCCTGATTGATGTCTGTTCCATGGACAAGCACCTGAGTTTACTTCAACAAGGCTGTGACATCACAGGAGGGTTGTATCTCAAAGTGCCATCACTGGAAGGATTATTGCAGTATTTACTAGTGAGTTCAATAACTATTTTTTAATCAACATCTTTGTCATTCATTGCTAACACTAGCAGTTTAATTTATTTCAATATGGTATGCACAAAAGCATTGTTATAGTTGGTGTTATGGTAAGTGCTGCCCTATGGAACTATAAAAACAGCACAATGAAATTTAAAGTAATTAAAAATGTTCCATGAACATTTTGCAACAATTTTGATATTGCAAGATTTGCAAGGGTACAAATGTGTTTGGTTTTAATTTTCGCTTATCTTTAGCTCCTTTTGGGGTTATTTGAGGTTAGCAGAAATGTGCCATTTACACAAGCCAGGCGATACACTCTTGAAAGATGTTAAAAGAATAGATAATTTATGTTATTTACACTTAATTGAATAATGTACATTTAATAAAATAATATTCTTTATTGTAATTACACCACAAAGTACAAAATAAGTAAGGTTACATTAACTTGAAATGGGGTACATATATCTTTTGCAAGAAGTGATCGCTTTCTATCTATCTTCATGCCAAGTCTCGCCTCAGACATATTCAAAGAGAACAGAGCCCTAGGCACAAAAAAATATCGATTTAATCTGATGTTGGTTCGTGCTAAGGACAAAGCACGATTCGTATACATATATTTCGATGCATTCACATTTATTACTCATTTTATTAAAAAAGTAATCTCCCAAACAGTGGGTATTTTTACCCGACGCATCGGAACGGACTAAGCTGGTGTTGCCAGGCAGAGGGCGCGTGGACTACCGTGCCGCCTGCTTCTGTCATCGAGAACTACTCACTATCGGTTACGTGTGCTCTGTGTGCTTGAGTGGTGAGTGTTGCAATAACCTCCCAAACAGTGGGTATTGTTGCCGGATGAAGCCGGTGTTGCCAGGTACAGGGCCTGCTTCTGGCATCGGGAAATACAAACTATCGGCTACGTGTGCTCTGCTTGCTTGAGTGGTGAGTGTTGCAATAATCTCCCAAACAATGAGTATTGCTGCCGGATGAAGCCGGTGTTGCGAGGCAAAGCGTCCGCTTCTGGCATCGGAAACTATGTGTGCTCTGTGTGCTTATGTGGTAAGTGTTGCAATAATCTCCCAAATAGGGGGTGTTGCTGCAGGATGAAGCCTGTGTTGCCAGGCAGAGAATCTGCTTCTGCCAGCGGCAACTACTCATTATCGACTACGTGTGCTCTGTGTTCGTTAAGTGGTAAGGTAAAGTCCTACAATAATAATTTATATGGAAGGAATTCTAAACACTATTATTTAACTAACATGTCAGAATTGTTAATTTTTGTTTTTTTTATTTAGAAAGAAATAAATATCGCTCTTTTACTGTTGTATGAAATTAATTAGAACAAACTTTAATACAAACTAATTTTCCACACAAATGGCTACTGGTGGCAGCATGCGTAACACGGTTCAAGTGTAAAAACCCAATTATTGACTATTTTTCTCTCATATCTATATCTTATTCATTGTTGCAGTGTTCTGCAAATTCAGTCCAATCTGCACAACTTGTCAGTAAGTATATATATATATGTTCTTGAGATATCATAATGGGTGTTTGTAAATTGTTTTTGGATCTGTTAATCAATCAGATTTATTAAAAGATAAGTGTAGGTAATCATTAACAATGCATCAAAATACTATCAAACAGTAGTTACTGCCACCAAATTATATTCTGCTAAAATTTTCCAAAATTGTGACATTTCTCCAAGTGGCTTTATCTTTCTTGATATAAGATTTAAATTGCTTACCTAATATTATCTACATTCAGTACCACGAGTGAATACAATTTGGCACTGACAGCATCTATATTACTTAAACATTAAGAACTATTTTTCGTCTTATTGCTAGAAGCATTGGAAATTGAATTCAGCTCTTGTTATAAAACTACTATATTGTAGTCAAAAAATAAATGCACAGAAACGCAGCTCTCAACTCAAACGGAGGAAACAGACACCCATAACGAATCGCGAACTTAAAATCCGTGTTAAAAAGACCATAATCACGAAATTAACCGTGATCCCAGTTGTGTGCTAATAGTATGGCGTATTCTAATGGAGCTGATATTCGGTATTTGTTTCTTTTGTGTTATAGTTAATGGCAAACATCTTGAGTAAAGTAATACGAACGACTAAAGTAGTATGAATCCACAGACGTTCACGAATCGCGACCTTAAAATCCGTGTTAAAAAGACCTTAATCACGAAATTATCCGTGATCTCCGTTGTCTTCTAAAGTATGGCTTATTATAACGGAGCTGATATTCGTTATTTCTTTATTATGTGTTATAGTTAACGGCAAACATCTTTAGTAAACGAATAGACTAACTGGCGCAGTTGACGTTTTTGTACCCATGTAAAATTGCTATTGCGCAGGCTTCGTTGTCTAAGGCGTATGCTAAAGATGTTTGCTGGGGTATATTAGTAAAAATAAACACAGAATTTTTATTTAAGTCTTAATCATACTGTAATGTCTTTTCAGTACCGTTTTCAAGATCGGAGGCCCGCTTCCTATCAAACCGAAAAAGAAAAAGATGAAAGTATAGGTATAACTATACGGCATTTATGCCTAAGTATTTTGTAAATATTTTAATATAAGATGATATTTTATTCTATGACTTTCATTTAGATCTTTACCATGGTCACCAATCATTGATGTAACGCCGTGGGACAAATAATAAAATTATGGTTTACAATGTCCATTGCAAATTGCAATTCGCGCTACAGGTCAACACATCTATAGCTGTCGTATTTCTCCAACCGACACTGAGCTTTATATTGTTTAACATAAAATTCACAGTCTCCTAAGATTTTTTTTCAGTTTGGGATGACTACAACAATTCGTACGGATAGCGCGTTTGAGCCTCATAATAATGACTATATTCAGTTATGTCTTCTAGTGTAAATAAATATGAAAAGTTCCTATTATGTTGTCATAGCAATGTATCTGGTCAAAATATTGGCCCACAAAAACAATTTCGGACCCTTTGCTACACAAAAGACCCGCCACTTTTACTCGTTTCCGTAAACGGATCAGTGAATGTCTTCGGTATCTATTGTCGGATTAAGATAACTGTGAAGTAATTGGGGTTGGATTATTATTTTATGTATGTCAAACTTGTTATTGTGACATTTTAATTTTTTATTACACCTTTACCCCTTATTAATAAACGAAAAATAAGCTTGGATTTATATATATATATTATATATATTTAAGCATGAAACTGCTACCTGGCCCGCGTGGAATTTTTTCTAGCTATATTTTCTTAAGCTTGGGTTAAGGTGGGTTGGTATTACTCCATGTTTTGTCTCTGTTCATTGAATGACAAATGGCATTCGAGTGTCATGAACAAAACACAGAGTAATTAGTCTAAGCTTATTCCTTGTTTATAAATAAAGGGGATAAAGTATGTAATGCATGGACTTTTTATATATAACATGACTGCGTACTTTTACTCAAAAAACGGTCAAAGTGAGAGATAATGATAGAAGGGTGTGTCCCATTCTAAATAGGATAACCATGTCTTTTTTTGGGAATTAAACATGAATCGTCTGGTTGGAAGTGAAGCCTGCACACAACCGAGTTTTTGATGACATTCCGCTTCAAATGCTCACCGTTGATCCATTTTTGTCTTATTTCTTCATCTTTTGGGAAACTTAAAACAATAATTATAATTTGCCATTAAAGTAAAATAACCGGACAAGTGACAGTCGGACTTGCTCACCTAAGGTTCCGTTCAAATTTATAGGTACGCACGCAACTCAAACAGCCGTATCGCTTTTTACGTTAATACAATACAATACAATACAAAATTCTTTATTGAAACACCACAGTACAGTACATAAATGGGGTAAATACATTATGTTTAAACAGTGATTCAATGGGCGGTCTTATCGCTAAAAGCGATTTCTTCCAGACAACCTTTGGATGGAGAGGATTGAATGAAATTGGAGTCGGTGGTGTTATAAAAGAAACAAAGGATATAAAAATGTATATAACTATATACATTAAATATATATACATACCATACATACACATAATATTAACATAATATTACTATAAGATATATATATAATATAAATATATGACATATACATACATAGACTACACATATAAAAGTTTAATCCAATCAGAAAAAAAAAAGCAATTGCAGTTACATCGACAAATAATGGTTGAAAACAAGTTTTTTGAAAGTATGAATAGATTGGGCTCGTCTTATGGATACTGGAAGAGAATTCCACAGGAGAACAGCTTGGACGGCAAAAGAACGACCATAGAAGGTTGTGTCATGAGTAGGAATTTTAGGGTTAAATTATCTGATGACCTAAGAGATAACGCGTTTGAGGTATGAAGGTAATTGAAGCATTCCTTGAGATAGCGCGGGGACAAAGGATTGAACAATATATTGTAGAGAAGTGTGAGGATATGAGTATTCCGGCGAAGTCGAATTGGTAGCCACTTGAGCTGTGATCGAAATTGCGACACATGATCATATTTGCGTAAGCAAAATATGAAACGAATACAGAAATTTAGAAGTCGCTCAAGCTTATTCAGCTGGTCTTCCGTGAGATCAAGATAGCAGGCGTCAGCGTAATCAAGAATAGGAAGCAGCAGAGACTGTGCTAGGGAAATTTTGGTGGCACTACTGCCTTACCTGAAGGAAATTGCGAAGTCTCTTCAGCGAGGCTGCCGAAGTGAACAGTTTTTGGCTAACAGTTTGTAACTGTGGACCCCAACTCAAACAGTTATCGACAGTTAATCCTAAGTTTTTTACAGAAACACTGAATGGAATATTGGTGCCAGCAAGAGATATGGTAGGAAGTAACTGCCAGTTCACTCTGGCAATCAACCTTGAGCTACCAATGATAATGCACTGTGTTTTGGAGGGATTTACTTCTAGTCCGAAAGATTCGCTCCACTCTACAATGTGTCGAATATCATTATTTGTTGCCAGTATTGCTTCGGATAATTGACCAAGAGAGGCTTGTCTATAAATTCGAAGATCATCTGCATACAGGTGTTAGGATGAAGAAATATTATTGGAAATAGAATTAATAAATATAGCGAAGAGAAGAGGAGATAAAACGCCGCCTTGGGGAACACCAGCAGAAGTGTCGATCCACGAGGAAAAAATCTCGTCGACGCGAACCCTCTGCCTGCGTCCCTGCAGATAACTGCGAAACCACTCAATTGCCGATGGAGATACGTTAAGAGAGCGCAGCAAAGCCAAAAGAATGTCAAAATTGACCGTATTAAAGGCATTGCTGAAATCTAGTAATGTCAATACTGTGAGATGACCCTGATCCATCCCAAGGCGTATGTCGTCTGTAATTTTCAGGAGGGTAGTCGTAGTACTATGCCCAGGACGGAAACCGGATTGAAGAGGATTAAAAAGATTATAACGAGACAGGAATGTATTGAATTGGTTAAGGACAAGACGTTCAAGGACTTTAGATAAGAAAGGAAGGATAGAAATAGGCCGAAAATCAGCAAGAAATTGAGGATTACATTTTTTGGGCAAAGGAACGATTTTGGCTTCTTTCCAAGCCGACGGAAAAACAGCATTTGTTATAGAGCTATTAAAAAGAAAGGTAAGGATAGGAAGGATCATATCTAAGATAGGTATCAGCATATTACGACTAATACTATCAGTACCTACCGCATTGGAAGAAATGGACAGCATGCTTTTCTTAACGTCACATTCGGAAAATTGAGTAAAGACAAAAGGAGAGTAGTCTGGAACTGGTAAAGATGAAAGAACATTTATAGTACTAGCTTTGTGCAAATTACTGAGACTAGAAGATACAGAGAAATGAACATTAAGTGAATTGATATCGATGTTACTAGGAAAAGACGTTTGACGAGGTTTACCAATTCCAAGTGATCTAAGGAAGTTCCACACTTTAGTAGGATCATTATTGCTGACAGATGCATGAATATGGCGACGTAAAGCATCCCTACACACCATGTTACAGTGATTGCGAGCCTTTGCATAGTTGTTTTTATTAGAGTCTGTCGGACGAATTTTATATTTACTCTTGGCCACATTCTTCTTGTGCATCAATACTTTTATCTCTGGTGTGAACCAAGGTGCTGGATGGTGCTTAAGCTTAATAGGACGAAGCGGTGCATGTTTATCATAAAGCTTGGTTATAATATTGTTGAAAGTATGCACTTGTTCGTCCTATGTAGCCGCGCTAGTCACTAACGACCAGTCGACATCATGCAGGTCTTTGAGTAACGCCTCCTGATCCATACCACCAAAATTCCGCTGAAGAATGACTTTCGGCTTGGGCTTAGGAGGACGAATCTTGTACGATAAGAAAATCAAGTCATGGTATGAGAATGCATCTGCCGCACATTGACCGTGTTTCATAGCACGTTGAGGAGAAGACACTATTAATAAGTCGAGAAGTGAGGGAGTAGTATTAGGGAAATGATGGGTATCGCTAAGTGGAAGGATGTGTAAATTACATGAACTGACAACGGATTGAAGAGAGG